ATGTGTTCCTGTTCTGAAGAAACAATGGTCAGCTTTCCAAATCTGTGCACTATCTCTTGTTCTGCTTTTTCTTTTCTTTTTTTTTTTGAGACAGAGTTTCGCTCTTGTTGCGTGGGCTGGAGTACAATGGTGCGATCTTGGCTCACTGCAACCTCCACCTCCCAGGTTGAAGCAATGCCTAAACCTCCCGAGTATCTGGGACTGCAGGCATGAGTCACCACGCCTGGCTAACTTTTTTTTTTTGTATTTAGTAGAGGCAGGGTTTCACCATCTTGGTCAGTCTGGTCTTGAACTCCTGAACTCCGGTGATCCACCCACCTCAGCCTCCCAAAGTGCTAGGATTACAGGTGTGAGCCACTACACCCAGCCATTGCTTTTTCTTTCTTTCTTTCTCTCTTTCTCTCTTTCTTTTTTCTTTCTTTCTTTCTTTCTTTCTTTCTTTCTTTCTTTCTTTCTTTCTTTCTTTTTCTTTTTCTTTTTTTCTTTTTCTTTCTTTCTTTTCTTTTCTTTCCTTCCTTCCTTCTTTCTCTTTCTCTCTTTCTCTCTCTCTCTTCTTTCTCTTTCTTTTCTTTTCTTTTCTTTCTTTCTTTTTGAGGTGGAGGCTCGCTGTGTTGCCCAGGTTGGAGTGCAGTGGCACAATCTCAGCTCACTACAGCCTCCACCTCCTGGGTTCAAGTGATTCTCCTGCCTCAGCCTCCTGAGTAGCTGGGACTACAGAAGCATGCCACCATGCCTGGCTAAGTTTTTGTATTTTTACTATAGATGGAGTTTTCACCATGTTAGCCAGGATGGTGATCTCCTGACCTTGTGATCTATCCACCTCAAAGTGCTGGGATTACAGGCAGGCGCGCAGCCTGCTTTTTCATTTTTTAGAATTTAATTTAATTTAATTATTTAATTATTTATTTATTTTCCAAGCTAGCTGAGATTTTATTTTTGGATCAAAAAAAAAAAAAAAAAAAAGCAATTGAATTGTTTTGCAGCTGGAGGCATGGGTAAGGGGGGTCCCCAGGCAGTAAACTCCCCGCCGGTGGGCTGAGGGCTAGGGCTGAGGGTCAGGTGGGTCTGCTGTTCCCTGCGCACCCCTGCACAGCAGCCTCCCTCCTGGGCTCTGGGGCAGCCTCAGGAGGGGCAGGCTGGGAGGCGCTGTTGCAGCTGTTCACTTGGGCAGGATGTCAGAGGACTTGGACACCAGCCTCCCATTGCAGGTCTCAATCTTCTTCACAACCACAGCCTTGGTGGAGCTGGTGTGGCTGAAGAGCTGGAGCCCGTGACAGAGCCAAATCTGGAGCCCAGGCCGTACCTGAGGCCCGGGCTTGTGAGGCCCCCATAGGCAGAGCTCAGACCACATGCATAGCCGCTGGTGTTCTTGTGGATACTTATGTTCTGCATCCCAGACTCCAGCCGGCTCTCCTCGCCCTCAAATAGCTTGCAGTAGGTGGCGATCTCGATGTCCAGGGCCAGTTTGACATTCATCAGCTCCTGGTACCCACGTAGCTGCTTTGCCATGTCCTGCTTGGCCTGCTGCAGGGCGGTCTCCAGCTCCTGCTGCTTGGCATGAGCACCCTTGAGTGCCTGCTCCCTGCGATGCTCAGCATCTGTAATGGCGGCCTCCAGGGAAGCCCTCTGGCCTTTGAGGCCCTCGATCTCAGCCTGGAGCCGGCTGATGTTCCAGTTCATCTCTGAGATCTCAGTCTTCGTACGCCGCAGGTCATCCCCGTGCTTCCCAGCCAGCGTCTGCAGCTCCTCATACTTGATCTGATATACGCTCTCTGCCTCAGCCCGGCTGCGGTTGGCGATCTCCTCATACTGCGCCTTGACCTCAGCGATGATACTGTCCACGTCCAGGAGTGGCTCTTGTCCATGGACAGCACCACAGATGTGTCGGAGATCTGGGACTGCAGCTCCCGGATCTCCTCTTCATACAGCTGCCTGAGGAAGTTGATCTCGTCAGTCAGTCCTTCCAGGCGAGACTCCGGCTCTGCCTTGTTCATGTCAGCTTCATCCACATCCTTCTTGATGAGGACAAATTCATTGTCCATCTCTGTACGCTTATTGATCTCTTCCTCATACTTGTTCTTGAAGTCCTCCACCAGCCCCTGCATGTTGCCAAGCTCTGCCTCCAGCTTCAGCTTCTCCTGGCCCAGAGTCTCCAGCTGCCGCCTCAGGTTGTTGATGTAGTTCTCAAACATGTTGTCCCTGTTGCTCCCAGCCATTTTCTGCTGCTGCAGGAGGCTCCACTTGGTCTCCAGCATCTTGTTCTGCTGCTCCAGGAACTGCACCTTGTCGATGAAGGAAGAAAACTTGTTGTTGAGGGTCTTGATCTGCTCCTTCTCCTGCGTACACACCGCCTGGATGTTGGGGTCCACATCCACCTTAATGGGGTTCAGCAGGCTCTGGTTGATGGTGACTATGCCTGTGCCACTGGCCCCAGCATAACCTGCACCCAGGCCACCCCGGAAGCCACTGCTGCTCACTCGGGAGAAGCTTGAGGAGCTCGCGTGGGCACTGGGCCTACTCGTGAAGGAGCGGCTGCTGAAGGCCCCGGGGCCAGAGGTGGACACCTTGTAGGACTTCTGGGTCACCCTGATGGACATGGTGGAGGCAGGAGTGGAGGCAGGCAGGCTGAACCAGGGAGAGATTCCAGAAGGAGTGGAGAAGCTGCTTCTTGCTGAATTTAATTTTATTTTTGTAAGAAAGGGTGTCACCCCGTCACCCAGGTTGGAGTGCAGTGGTGTGATCAGCTTACTGCAGCCTTGACCTCCCAGGCTCAAGCAATCCTCCCTTCTCATCCTCCCAAGTAGTTGGGATTATAGGCACATACTACCACACCCTGCTAATTTTTATATTTTTAGTAGAAATGAGGTTGCCCAGGCTGGTCTCAAACTCCTGAGCTCAAGTGATCTGCCCACCTCAGCCTCTTCAAGTGCTGGGATTACAGGCGTGAGCCACTGCATCCAGCCTTGTTCTGATTTTTTGGAAGCATATGTAGCTTCTAGTAGGTAAGCAAAGCTCAGTCCAGAGTCAGCATCTAATCCTGTCAAGACAATTTGTGATGCCCCCAGGGCTACCAGCATGAGTCTCTCTTGCCAGCTATGACCAGGACCTTGTACCACATGATCTGCACTATAGTCACCGGCAGATTGTCTCTTTTGCTGACAAACAGAACACTTCTTCCTGGCACTATGTGCCTGAGAGGGTACAAGAGGAACGTGTTGATGAAAAGAGTCAAACTCAGCAGGGCACAGCGGCTCACACGTGTAATCCCAGCACTTTGGGAGGTTGAGGTGGGCAGATCATCTGAGGTCAGGAGTTCGAGACCAGCCTGACCAACATGGTGAAACCCTGTCTCTACTAAAAAAAAAAAAAATACAGGCCAGACGCAAAGGCTTACTCCTGTAATCCCAGCACTTTGGGAGGCCGAGGTGGGCAGATCATGAGGTTAGGAGATCAAGACCATCCTGGCTAACACGGTGAAACCCTGTCTTTACTAAAAAATACAAAAAATTAGCTGGGCACGGTGGCATGTGCCTGTAGTCCTAGCTATTCGGAAGGCTGAGGCAGGACAATCACTTGAACCTGAGAGGTGGAGGTTGCAGTGAGTCGAGGTCATGCCACTGCACTCCACCCTGGGTGACAGAGTGAGACTGTCTCAAAAAAAAAAAAAAAAAAAAAAATCAAAGAGATTTATTCTGAGCCAAATAGGATTGACCATGGCTTGTGACACAGCCCTCAGGAGGTCCTGAGAACATGTGCAAGGGAATCAGGGTGCAGCTTGGTTTTATACATTTTAAGGAGGCATGAGACATCAATCAAATACATTTGAGGAATACATTGATTTAGTCTAGAAAGGTGGGACAACTGAAAGCAGGGTGGTGGGGGTTTCCAGGCTATAGGTGAATTTAAACATTTTCTGGTTGACAGTTGATTGAGTTTGTCTAAAGACCTGGGATCATTAGAAAGGAAATGTTCAGGTTAAGATGAAAGATTTTGGAGAGGCCAGGCTGTGTTTCATGCCTGTAATCCCAGCACTTTGGGAGGCTGAGGCAGGCAGATCATGAGGTCAGGAGATCGAGACCATCCTGGCTAACATGGTGAAACCCCATATTTACTAAAAACACAAAAAATTATCCAAGTGCGGCTGGGCGCAGTGGCTCACACCTGTAATCCCAGCACTTTGGGGGACCAAGGCAGACGGATCACGAGATCAGGAGTTTGAGATCATCCTGGCAAACATGATGAAATCCTGTCTCTACTAAAAATGCAAAAATTGCCAAGCACAGTGGCTCACGCCTGTAATGCAAGCACTTTGGGAGGCTAAGGCAGGCAGATCAGGAGGTCAAGAGATTGAGACCACCCTGACCAACATGGTGAAACCCTGTCTCTACTAAGAATACAAAAAATTTAGCTGGGTGTTGTGGCAGCAGATCATGATGTCTGTAGCTGCCTCTAGTTCCAGCTACCCAGGAGGCTGAGGCAGGAGAATTGCTTGAATCCAGGAGGCGGAGGTTTCAGGGAGCTGACATGGCACCATTGCACTCCAGCGTGGGCGACAGAGTGAGACTCCATCTCAAAAAAAATTAGCTGGGAGTGGTGGCATGTGCCTGTAGTCCCAGCTACATAGGAGGCTGAGTCTGGAGAATCGCTTGAATCCAGGAGGCAGAGGTTGCAGTGAGCCAAGATCGCACCACAGCACTCCAGTCTGGGTGACAGAGTGAGACTCCCCGTCTCAAAAAAAAATTTAGCTGGGAGTGGTGGCATGCACCTGTAGTCCCAGCTATGCAGGAGGCTGAGGCAGGAGAATCACTTAAACCTGGGAGGTGGAGGTTGCAGTGAGCTGAGATCATGCCACTGCACTCCAGCATGTGTGACAGAGTGAGACTCTGTTGAATGGATCACTTGAAGTCAGGAGTTCGAGACCAGCCTGGCCAAACTGATGAACATGGTCTCTACTAAAAATACAAAAAAAAAAAAAAAAAAAAAAAAAAAAAGGCTGGGTGTGGTGCTGGACGCAGCTACTTGGCAGGCTGAGGCAGGAGAATCGCTTGAACCCTGGAGGCAGAGATTGCAGGAGCCGAAATCACTCTGAGATGGGATTGTTCCTTTGATCCCCTTCGTGGTTGAGAACTGGAGTGGCTGCTTTCACTCAGCCTGCCACTGGCCACTCATCTCAAAAGGGAGCATGCAAGCAAGCAGTTGCAGGAACCAGAGGGAACAAGCCAGCAGTCACTCCTCTCTGGCGGGAGCAGGCTCTGTGTGGGGTCCGCAGCAGTGTCCAAGCCTCTGCCCTCTTGCCACCCAGGTTCTTGTCCAGCATCCAGGAAGAATCAGGTTACACAAATAGATTGAAGGGTACTGTATGCCAATAATTTTATTGGGTGATGGCTCTTAGTGGGATGGGAGTTGGAAAAGGGATGGTGTAGGAAGGTGAACTTTCCCTGGAGTTATACAGCACTTGAAGTTAGCTGCCTCTATCTGTAGTGTCCACAAGCAGTTGCTGCGTCTCTGCTCGTTGTTCAGCAGCTTGTATCCCTGACCATCAGTCCCTGGGAGAGGCCTCACACATACGGGGTCATATCTATGATGGGACACCAGCTTTATCAGGTGGGCAACAGAGCAAGACTCTGTCTCAAAAAATAAAAATTAAAACAACAAAAAAAGAAGTCATTGAAGGCAGCCAGTTGTGGTGGTACTCACCTGTAGTCCCGGTTATTGGGAGGCTGAGGCAAGGGAAATCACTTGAACACAGGAGTTTGAGGCTGCAGTGAGTTATGATCCCACCACTGCACTCCAGCCTTGGTGACAGAGTGAGACTTTGTCTCTAGAAAAAATTAAGGCCAGGCACAGTGGCTCATGCCTGTAGTATGGCTGGGAGCAGTGGCTCCCAGCATTTTTTTTTTTTTGAGACGGAGTCTGTATCTGCCACCCAGGCTATAATGCAGTGGCACGATCTTGGCTTATTGCAGTCTCTGCCTCCTGGGTTCAAGCAATTCTCCTGCCTCCCGAGTACAGGCATGTGCCTCCATGCCAGCTAATTTTTGTATTTTTTTTTTTTTAAGATGGGGTTTTACCATGTTGGTCAGGCTGGTCTTGAACTCCCAGCCTCAGGTGATCTGTCCGCCTTGGCCTCCAAAGTGCTTGGATTACAGGCATGAGCCACTGTGCCCTGCCATTTTTTGTATTTTAGTTATTTATTTATTTGAGATGGAGTCTCCCCCTGTTGCCCAGGCTGGAGTACAATGATATGATCTTGGCTCACTGCAACCTCCGCCTCCCAGGTTCAAGCAATTCTCCTGCCTCAGCCTACCACGTAGCTGGGATTACAGGCATGTACTACCATGCCTGGCTAATTTTTGTATTTTTAGTAGAAACGGGGTTTTACCATGTTGGCCAGGCTGGTCTCAAACTCCTGACCTCGTGATCTGCCCACCTTGGCCTCCCAAAGTGCTGGGAGTACAGGCATGAGCCACCATGCCAACCTTATTTATTTTTTTGAGATGATGTCTCTCTCCGTTGCCACAGGCTGGAGTGCAGTGGCTCAGTCTCTGCTCACTACAACCTCCACCTCCCAGGTTCAAGCAATTCTCATGCCTCAGCCTCCCAAGTAGCTGGGATCACAGGTGCAGGTCACCATGCCCAGCTAATTTTGTATTTTTAGTAGAGATAGGGTTTCACCAAGTTGGCCAGGCTGGTCTCGAACTCCTGATCTCAAGTGACCCACCCGCCTCAGCCTTCCAAAATGCTGGGATTACAGGTATGAGCCATTGCAGATGACCTAATTTTGTATTTTTAGTAGAGACAAGGTTTCACCATGTTGGCCAAGCTGGTCTCAAACTCCTGACCTCAGATGATCTGCCCACCTCGGCCTCCCAAAATGCTGGAATTATAGGCATGAGCCACTGCACTCAGCCTTTTTATTTTTTTAGAGGCAGGGCCTCCTTCTGTCATCCATGCTGGGGTGCAGTGATGTTCCCATAACTCACTGCAGCCTTGAAATCCTGGGCTCCAGCCATCCTCCCACCTCAGCTGCCTGAGTAGCTGGTACTACATGTGTTTCTAGCTTGCCTGATTTTTTTTTTCTAAGAATTTTTTTATTTTTAAGACAGAGTCTTGTTCTGTTACCCAGGCTGGAATGCAGTGGTGCGATCTTAGTTCACTGCACCCTCCACTTCCCAGGTTCAAGCAATTCTCCTGCCTAAGCCTCCCAAGAAGCTGGGACTACAGGTGCACGCCACCATGCCCAGCTAATTTTTGCATTTTTAGTAGAGACAGGGTTTCACCATGTTGGCCAGGATGGTCTCGATCTCTTGACCTTGTGATCCACCTGCCTCGGCCTCCCAAAGTGCTGGGATTACAGGTGCGAGCCACCATGCCTGGCCAATTTTTAAAATTCTGTTTATAAAGTCAGGGTGTTGCTTTGTTCTCAGGCTGGTCCTGAACTCCTGGCCTCAGGCAGTCCTCCGACCTTGGCCTCCTAGAGCACTGGGATTACAGGTGTGAGCCACCATTCTGGACCACACATAGCTTTTTAATTTTGTTTTGGTTATTATTTTGAAACAGGGTCTTACTCTGTTTCCCAGGCTAGAGTATAATGATGTGATCATAGCTCACTGTAGCTTCAACCTCCTGTGGTGAAGGGATCGTCCTGCCTCAGCCTCCTAAGTAGCTTGGACTATGGGTGAGAGACTCCATGCCTGCCTAATTTTTGTGTTTTTTAAATAGAGATGCGGAGTTGCCATGTTGCTCAGGCTGGTCCTGAACTCCTAGTCTCAAGGTATCCTCCCACCTTGGCCTCCCAAAGAGCTGTGATTACAGGTGTGAACCACTGTGCCTGGCCTAATTTTTAAATTTTTTCATAGAGATGAAGTCTCACTCTGTTGTCAAGGCTGGTCTATGTTTGTTTGTTTGTTTGTTTTTAAATACATGAATGCATATCCTATAAAAAATTTTTTTTTTTTGAGACAGAGTTTTGCTCTTGTTACCCAGGCTGGAGTGCAATGGCGCGATCTTGGCTCACTCCCCCTCCTGGGTTCAAGCAATTCTCCTGCCTCAGCCTCCCAAGTAGCTGGGAATACAGGCGCACACCACCATGCCCAGCTAATTTTTGTATTTTTAGTAGAGACGGGGTTTCACCATGTTGACCAGGATGGTCTCGATCTCTTGACCTCGTGATCCACCTGCCTCGGCCTCCCAAAGTGCTGGGATTACAGGCTTGAGCCACCATGCCCGGCTAAAAAAATTTTTTTCTTTTAATTTGAAACACTGCTGGCCGGGCCCAGTGGCTCATGCCTGTAATCCCAGCACTTTGGGAGGCTGTGGCGGGAGGATCCACCTGTGGTCAGGAGTTTGAGACCAGCCTGGCTAACATGGTGAAACCCCCTTTCTATGAAAATACAAAAAGTTAGCTGGGCATGGTGGTGCTCGCCTGTAATCCCAGCTACTCGGGAGGCTGAAACAGGAGAATAGCTTGAACCTGGGAGGTAGAGGTTGCAGTGAGCCAAGATCATGCCATTGCACTCCAGCCTGGGCAACAAGAGCAAAAGTCCATCTCAAAAACAAAACAAAACAAAACAAAACAAAAACTAGTCTTCAAGATGCTTTTGGTATCATATATCTGTTAATCTTTGTTTTTTTATAGTCTATTTAGTTTATCAGGAATCTGCAGAATCCATCTCAACTATTTGGTTACAGGAGCCCATGATGCTGCCCAAACCTGGGATCTTTTACCTCCCCTGGGAGATCAGTGCAGGCCAAGTTCCTGATGGCAGCACACTGAGGACATTTGGCAGGTGAGAATGGTTATGTTTTTCACTGGTAGGGTGATGGTTCAATGTCTTTCTCTACCCTTCCCCAAAAATAATTAAAACAGTTTTTCTTTCTTTTTTTTTTTTTTTGAGACAGAATCTCACTCTTGTCACTCAAGCTGGAGTGCAGTGGTGCCATCTCAGCTCACTGCAACCTCCACCTCCTGGATTCAAGTGATTCTCCTGCCTCAGCCTCCCAAATAACTGGGACTATAGGTGCACACCACCACACCCGGCTGAATTTTTTTTTTTTTTTTTTGAGATGGAGTTTTGCTCTTGTTGCCCAGGCTGGAGTGCAATGCTGTGATCTTGGCTCACTCCCTCAGCCTCCCGAGTAGCTGGGATTACAGGCATGTGCCACCACCACACCCGGCTAATTTTGTATTTTTAGTAGACTGGGTTTCTCCATGTTGGTCAGGCTGATCTTGAACTCCTGACCTCAGGTGATCTGCCTGGAGTGCTGGGATTACAGGCGTGAGCCACTGTGCCTGGCCTGATTTTTGTATTTTTTAGTAGAGACATGGTTTCATCATATTGGCCAGGTTGATCTCAAACTCCTGACCTTGTGATCCGCCTGCCTCTGCCTCCCAAAGTGCTGGGATTACAGGCATAAGCCACCACATCTGGCCAAAATAGATTTTTATAACTTTGTCTGTTTGTATTAAACTACTGAAAAAATCAATATTCATTGTAAAAAATGTAGATAGTCCATAAAGGTATAAAGAAGAAGGAAAAGTCACCCATAATCCCATTGTCCAGACAACCACTGCTAACCTTTGGTGATTATCTTCATGTGCTCTTCCACATATATGTGTTTGTATATGAGGGTGGGTATGGAGACACCCAATATACATATATGCATATATACTCTGTCAGTTATATATCAGTTATATATTGCTGTGTAACAAATTACCCATCCACACACACAATTTTACTTTTTAGTAGAGACAGGGACTCCCCATATTGTCAAGGCTGGTGTCAAACTCCTGGCTCAAGTGGTTCTCTTGACTCAGCCTCCCAAAGTGCTGGGATTATAGGCATGAGCCACTGTGCTCAGCCTCCCCCAAATTTGAAATAACTACTGTCTCATACTTACTGTGGATCAGGAATTTGGGAGTGGTTTAGCTGTTTGGATCTGGCTCAGGGTCACTCAGGGAAGTGTTGTCAAGATGTTGGCCAGGGCTGCAGTTATCTGAAGGCTTGACTGGGGCTGGGAGCTCTGCTTCTAAGGTGGTTTGTTCACATGTTTGGCAAATTAGTGCTGTCTCTTGGCAAGACAACTTGCCAAGACAAGTTGTTCCTGACAATGTGATTTCTCTGTAGTTCTGTGTGAGGTTCCTCAAAACACAGCAGTTTCTACCAGAAGCAGTGACCAAGAAAAAGAGCGGGGTGAAAACCAAAATGTCTTTCATGACTTAGCCTCCAAAGTCAGGCTCAGGTCATTTCTGCAGTATCCTATTGATTACACAGGTCAGCCTTACTCAGCATGGTAGAGGATGCCCAAGGATGTGAATATCAGGAGGTGAGAATCACGGGGAGAATCTTAGAGACATGTGTATACACATATGAAAATATTTTAACCTAGGCTGGGCACAGTGGCTCACGCCTGTAATCTCAGCACTTTTGGAGGCCAAGGAGGGCAGATCACCTGAGGTTAGGAGTTTGAGACCAGCCTGGCCAAAATGGCAAAACTCCATCTCTACTAAAAATAGAAAAATTAACCAGGTGTGTTGGCAGGCGCCAGTAATCCCCACTACTCAGGAGGCTGGGGCAGGAGAATCACCTGAACCCAGGAGGCAGAGGTTGCAGTGAGCCAAGACTGCACCACTGCACTCCAGCTTGGGCGACAGAGCAAGACTCCATCTCAAAAAAAAAAGGAAAAGAAAAAAATGGCTCATGCCTGTAATCCCAGCACTTTGGGAGGCCAAGGCAGGTGGATCACAAGGGCAAAAGATTGATACCATCCTGGCCAACATGGTGAAAACCTGTCTCTACTAAAAATACAAAAATTAGCTGGGTGTGGTGGCGTGTGCCAGATTAAGGCTGAACACTTCTCCATGGGTTTCTTGGCCATGCAAACCTTTGGAGCGTGGTGGTGGTTCTACTATGGATGGAAATTTTTGCATTTCTTCTGCCCTCCAGGTTGTGTCTCTACGACATGATCCAGTCTAGAGTGACGTTGACGGCTCAGCATGGATCCAATCAGCACCAGGTTCTTGTCTGTACCAAGTTAGTGGAGCCCTTCCATGCCCAGGTGGGCTCCCTGTACATCGTCCTCGGGGAGCTCCAGCACCAGCAGGGTGAGCTGCAGCCGCACACCCACTTTCTCATCTTGGGGCCTGAGCTGGGGCAGTCTTTGGGGTAGTCAGTGAGGAATGGGCTTGTGACCCAATAGCAGCGTCTCATCAGGGTTGACGTTTCTTCCAAATTAGCCCGAAGTTCAAGGACTCTTGAGGATTCAACTCAGAGTAGACTGGCCACATGGTGGCAACTCAAAGACAGGGTGGCTGGCACCTGTAATCCCAGCACTTTGGGAGGCCTAGGCCGGTGGATCACCTGAGGTCAGGAATTTAAGACCAGCCTGGCCAGCATGGCAAAACCCTGTCTACTAAAAATACAAAAATTAGGCCGAGCGTGGTGGCTCACGCCTATAATCTCAGCACTTTGGGAGGCCGAGGCGGGTGGATCACGAGGTCAAGAGATCGAGACCATCCTGGTCAACAAGGTGAAACCCCGTCTCTACTAAAAATAGAAAAAATTAGCTGGGCATGGTGCCTATAATCCCAGCTACTCAGGATGCTGAGGCAGGAGAATTTCCTGAACCCAGGAGCGGAGGTTGCGGTGAGCCAAGATCACACCATTGCACTCCAGCCTGGGTAACAAGAGCGAAACTCCGTCTCAAAAAAAAAAAAAAAAAAATAGCTCATTGATTTGGGTGAGGTTTGGGAGGGAGGAATGGGTACAAAGGACCTTTGCAAAATGATTTCTACCTTGACTAAAGTCCAGAAACCCTCAGGGCATTCTCTGATGGTCTCACTCCTACAAGGAGTCTCTGGAGCTCTCGGGAACACACTGCCCAGGGTCTGGAACTTAAGGCTCCATTGCAAATACCGGAGAGGTTTGTTTGTTTGTTCATTTATTTATTCATTTAGAGATAGAGTCTTGCTCTGTGGCTCAGGCTGGAGTGCAGTGATGCCATCTTCAGTCACTACAACCTCTGTCTTCCAGATTCAAATGATTTCTCCTGCCTCAGTCTCCCAAGTAGCTAGGATTACGGGCGCCCGCCATCATGCCCAGCTAATTTTTGTATTCTTAGTAGAGAGAGGGTTTCACCATGTTGGCCAGGCTGGCCTTGAACTCCTGCTGTCAAGTGTTCTGCCTGCCTTGGCCTCCCACAGTGCTAGGATTAGAGGCATGAGCCACCGCACCCAGCCCTATCCTGCCATTTCTGTATGGATTGCCTATTGGAAAAACCAAATGGTTGATGAAGGAAAGTTCTTTTTTTTTTGAGACGGAGTCTCGCTCTGTTGTCAGGCTGGAGTGGAGTGGCACGATCTTGGCTCACTGCAACCTCTGCCTTCCAGTTCAAGCAATTCTCTTGCCTCAGCCTCCCCAGTAGCTGGGACTACAGTCGCGCACCACCAAGCCCAGCTAATTTTTGTATTTTTAGTAGAGACTGGGTTTCACCATTTTGGCCAGGATGGCCTATCTTGATCATTTGACCTTGAGATCCGTCTGCCTTGGACTCCCAAAGTGCTAGAATTATAGGCGTGAGCCACTGTGTCCATCCTAGAAAGTTCTTAGAGAAAAGTTACAGTGAATAAATGCAGAAGAAATGTGTAACTTCAAAAGTCATCACTTTAAAGGCCCTTACAAGATAAAAAATCCAGGCTATGGTCCTTGCTACCGGCCAAAATCATTAGGAAACATTTTGATGGGAGCATTGGGATGGAGGGACCCGCTGGCAGTGCCTGGGCCAGCCTGATCAATGTAAATGTGATAAAAATCAGGACAAACATCATGTGCCTGTGATATGAGGCATGAGGAGGACGCACATAGCACCATCTCTGATGGGTTCTTGCCAATAAAATTGAACCTGTTGGGAGGCCGAGGCGGGTGGATCACGAGGTCAAGAGATTGAGACCATCCTGGTCAACATGGTGAAACCCTGTCTCTACTAAAAATACAAAAAATTAGCTGGGCATTGTGGTGCGTGCCTGTAATCCCAGCTACTCAGGAGGCTGAGGCAGGAGAATTGCCTGAACCCAGGAGGCGGAGGTTGCGGTGAGCCGAGATCGCGCCATTGCACTGCAGCCTGGGTAACAAGAGCGAAACTCCGTCTCAAAAAAAAAAAATTGAACCTGAAGCTAATCAGGCCTCAGAGGAAGCAGCCTGTTACCAGGCACAGGCCAGTTCCCTACTCTCATAATTTGCATCACAACCTGTTTTTTGTGGGGTTTTTTTTTCCCCCTTAAAATATTTTTTTCTTAATTTTCTTTTTTTTCTTTTTTCTTTCTTTTTTTTTTTTTTTGAGACGGAGTTTCGCTCTTGTTACCCAGGCTGGAGTACAATGGCGCGATCTCGGCTCACCGCAACCTCCGCCTCCTGGGTTCAGGCAATTTCCCTGCCTCAGCCTCCTGAGTAGCTGGGATTACAGGCACGCACCACCATGCCCAGCTAATTTTTTTGTATTTTTAGTAGAGATGGGGTTTCACCATGTTGACCAGGATGGTCTCGATCTCTTGACCTCATGATCCACCTGCCTCAGCCTCCCAAAGTGCTGGGATTACAGGCGTGAGCCACCGTGCCGGGCCCTCTTTTTTTTTTTTTCCTTTCTTTTTTTTTTTTTTTTTAATGAGATGGTGTCTTACTCTGTTGCCCAGGCTGGAGTGTAGTGGCACGATCTCTGCTCACTGCAACCTCCGCCCCCTGGGTTCAAGTGATTCTCCTGCCTCAGCCTCCCACGTAGCTGGGATTATAGGCGCCTGTCACCAGACCCAGCTAATTTTTGTGTTCTTAGCAGGGATGGGGTTTCACTATCTTGACCAGGCAGGTCTTGAGCTCCTGACCTCACAATCCACCCACCTTGGCTTCCCAAAGTGCTGGGATTACAGATGTGAGCCGCTGTGCCCAGCCTGTCTTGATATTCTAAGTCAAACATGCTTGTCATTCATGGTGGGGACTGGGAATCAAAGATGAGGAGGAGGGAGGAGAGCATCAGGCTGACTGTGCTCCAGCCTCCCTGACCTCTGGCCTGGGCAGAGGGGGCATTCTGTGGCTGCGTTAAACCTCTCTGTGAAGGTCAAGTCTGGTGGCTCATACCTGTAATCTCAGCACTTTGGGATGCCAAGGAGGGAGGATTGCTTGAGGCCAGGAGTTTGAGACCAGCCTGGGCAACATAGTGAGACCCCCATCTTCACAAAAATTTAAAAATTAGCCAGGTGTGGTAGCACATTCTTGTAATCCTAGCTACTCGGGGAGCTGAGGCAGGAGAATTGCTTGAACCCAGGAGGCGGAGGTTGCAGTGAGCTGAGATTGCACCATTGTACCCCAGCATAAGCAACAAGAGTGAAACTCTTTGTCTCAAAAAAAAAAAAGAAAGAAAGAAAAGAAATGAAATAATAGGCCTTCCTGTGCCAGGTCCAAAGTTCTGTGGGGACACAAAGGTTGATCAGACATGAATCCTGCCCTGTGGCTACACTGAAAGTTCCGAGGACCAGCGAGAGGTCACCTTTCAGAAATGTTTGCAGAAGAGCTAGCTAAGAAGACCACCAGGTGAAGACATGTTGGGGTGTGCTAAAACCCACAGACCTGACACTTGTTGGTGCCCTGAAAAGGCCTGAGGGCCTCCTGTCCTGGAAGTAAAGTGTGTGTGGGCACAGCCTTTCCTAGGCCTACTCCAGAGGTCCTCAGAGCACACCCAGGCTGAAGGGCCCTGGACCACAGCAAGCAGCTGCCCACACGCTCTTGCCCTGCATCCTCTGCCTTCTGGTTTTCTCTCACTGCACCCCTGCACCCTGTACTCAGAAACCTTCCTGTGTGGCTCAGGGACTCACTCATCTAGCATGTTGAGAGGCTGAGGTGGGAGGATCACTTGAACCCAGGAGTTCGAGACCAGCTTAGGCAACATAGAGAGACTCCATCTCTACAAAAGAAAATGTTAGCGGGGTTTGGTGCCTCGTGCTTGTAGTCTCAGCTACTTGGGAGGCTGAGGCAGGAGGATGGCTTGAGGCCGGAGTTCGATGCTGCAGTGAGCTGTGGTCACACCACTGCACTTGAACCTGGGTGACAAAATGAGACCCTGTTTCTTTTTTTTTTTTAAGATGGGGTTTCACCATGTTGGTCAGGCTGGTCTTGAACTCCCAACCTCAGGTGATCCACCCTCCTTGGCCTCCAAAGTGCTTGGATTAAAGGCATAAGCCACCATGCCCAGCGAGACCCTGTTTCCAAAGAAAAAGAAAAAGAGGCCAGGCACTGTGGCTCACTCCTGTAAGTCCAGCACATTTGGGAGGCTGAGGCGGGTAGATTACTTGAGTCCGGAAGTTCGAGACCAGCCTGGGTAATATGGTGAAACTCCGTCTCTACAAAAAATACAAAATTTAGTATGGTGTGTTGTTGCAGGCATGCCTGTACTTCCAGCTGCTGGGGAGGCTGAGGTGGGAAGATCACTTGAGCCAGGGAGGTGGAGGTTGCAGTGAGCTGAGACTCTACCATTGTACTACAGCCTGGGTGACAGAGTGAGACCCTGTCTAAAAACAAAAAGAAGGCTGGGTGCAGTGGCTCATACCTGTAATCCCAGCACTTTGGGAGGCCAAGGCAGGTGGATCACTTGAGGCAAGGAGTTCAAGACCAGCCTGGGCAATATGGTGAAACCCCATCTCTACTAAAAATACAAAATTAGCTGGGTGTGGTGATGCATATCTGTTATCCCAGGTACTTGGGAGGCTGAGGCAGGAGAATCACTTGAACCCGGGAGGTGGAGGTTGCAGTGAGCCAAGACCATCAAGATCATACCACTGCACTCTAGCCTGGGCGACAGAGCAAGGGCCTGCCTAAAAAAAAACAAGAGAGAGAGAGAGAAAGAATAAAGAGAAGAGAAGAGGCCGGGCATGGTGGCTCACACCTGTAATCCCAGCACTTCGGGAGGCCGATGAGGCAGGTGGATCACGAGGTCAGGAGATCAAGACCATCCTGGCCAACATAGTGAAACCCTGTCTCTATGGAAAAAAAAAAGAATAAAGAGAAGCAAAAAGAAAAAAAAAGGAAAGAGAAAGGGAGGGATGGGGGGAAACCTTCCAGGCATCCCATATGCACCTCCCTCTTCAAGCATCCTTACCAGCTGGCTCTGGGACTTGCCCAAACCCTCCTCCCCAGACCACATGCCCACAGTCTGGAGTGGGCCCGAGTTCCACTGGCTCCTCAGGCGTGTCACATCACACATCCTTCCCTGTCTCCCTGCTGCCAACTGGTTCCCCACCACCATGCACCTCTGCACCAATTACACCTCCCACGCCCGCTGCCACACCTTGGACATGTCTCCCTGAGATTGCCATCCCGAGGCCCCAGTGTACGCCACCCACTCTCATTTCTGCTTCTGCTGCATCCTTCTTCCCCTGTCAGGACTTGTGGACTCAGGACTCCTGGGCTGTTTCCCCCACCTCTCTTCCCCTCTGGGCCTTGCCTTCCATTGCTCCAGCTCCGAGACCCCAGCCTCCACTCTCCTGGTCCTGGCAACTGTTGAGTGCAGAGAGCTCCGAGGATTTGGAGCACAGTGATTTCAGGGGCTCACTGGGGTCCCCCTGCACTGCCTAGAAATCCTTGTGTCCTGGCCATGCCCCCCTCCCAGACACCACACCCCTGCCTGGTAAGAACCTACTTCCTCTCCTCCCCTGTCCCAACTGGCAGATTGCTTTATGTCCCAGCTAGAACTGAGGCCACAGGCAGCTGTTCTTCCTCCAACAATCAGACACTGAAACGGCCACCATTAGCTTCTTCCTCTAGTCTAAGAGGAAGTGGATCCCTCCTACCTACAAGGTTACCACAGTTCTTCCCTCTTGACATGTAAGGCACTCAATCCTCTATATGGAAATAATAGTCCCAATGTTAAGACGTCATCTTCTATGCTAGAGTCTGCCCTGCCTGCCCATGACCTTCCCTCCCTTTGCAGACAACCCTCCTAAAAGAACATCTGTGTTCCCTGTAACCCCTTCCTCTCCTCAGACCTCACCCCACTGCTTTCTGACTGCTTTTTATTTAGTTATTTTTTATTTTTTGAGATGGAGTCTTGCTCTGTCACCAGGCTGGAGTGTAGTGGCTCCATCTTGGCTCATTGCAGTCTCCACCTCCCAGGTTCAAGTGATTCTCCTGCCTCAGCCTCCTGAGTAGCTAGGATTACAGGCACCCACCACCACACTCAGCTAATTTTTGTATTTCTAATAGAGACGGGGTTTTGCCATGTTGGCCAGGCTGGTGTCGAATCCTGACCTCAGGTGATCTGCCTGCCTTGGAAATCTATTCATTAAAGTGCTCAGAGAGAACATGAGTGCAACAAATTTTTTAAACTTTATTTATCTATTGCAAGCTACGACTGGGGAAAAAACAAACATCATCTAGGCACAGTGGCTCATACCTATAATTCCTGCATGTTGGGAGGCTGAGGCGGGCAGATCGCTTGAGCCCAGGAGTTTGAGACCAGGCTGGGCAACGTGGCAACACCCCATCTCTACAAGAAATACAAAAATTAGCCGGGTGTGGTGGTGCATGCCTGTAGTCCCAGCTCCTTGGGAAGCTGAGATGATCACCTGAGCCTGGGAGGTTGAGGCTATATTGAGTTGTGATGAGGCCCTGGACTCCAGCGCAAGTGACAAAGCAACACCCTGTCTCAAAGAAATTTTTTTGAGTTGGAGTCTTGCTCTGTCACCTGGGCTGGAGTGCAGTGGTGGGTGATCTTGGCTCACTGCAACCTCAGGTCTCCCAGGTTCAAGTGATTCTCCTACCTCAGCCTCCCAAGTAGCTAGGACTACAAGCATGTACCACTACACCTGGCTAATTTTTGTATTTTTAGTAGAGACAAAGTGGCCAGGGTGGTCGTAAACTCCCAACCTCAAGCGTTCCACCTGCCTTGGCCTCCCAAAGTGCTGGGATTATAGGTGTGAGTGACTGCGCCTGGCAAAAGAAAGAAAATTTTTAAAAAGTCTATTATGGGGGGTGGGTGTGGTGGCACGCACCTGTAGTCTCAGCTACTTGGGAGGCTGAGTTAGGAGAATTGCTTGAACCTGGGAGGTGGAGGTTGCAGTGAGCCAAGATTGCACCACTGCACTCCAGCCTGGGTGAAGAATGAGACTGTCTCAAAAAAAAAAAAAAAAAAGTCTATTATGGGCCAGGCATGGTGGTTCATGCCCCATAATCCTTTGGGAGGACAAGGCAGGTAGATCACCTGAGGTCAGGAGTTCAAAACCAGCCTGACCAACATGGTAAAACCCCGTCTGTACTAAAAATACAAAATTAGCCAGGCATGGTGGTACATACCTGTAATCCCAGCTACTTGGGAGGCTGAGGCAGGATAATCACTAGAACTCGAGAGGCGGAGGTTGTGGTGAGCTGAGATTGGGCCATTGTACTCCAGCCTGGGCAACAAGAACTAAACTCCATCTCAAAAAAAAAAAGTCTGTAGTGACAAATCCCAGATGTCTTTCCTGTTTGGTGCCACCTGCACATTGGCAAACCTTTCCATCATTTATCAGTTGACCACTGCATCTGTGAGAAACCCCGAGCCCCTTGTCCAGGGTGCGATGACCTGCTCCTATAAAGCCAAACTTACCTGGAGCTCAGTCCCTTGGATTTTTAAAATATGGGTGTCTCTTTTCCTCTGCTTTCTGATGACGGTGTGTCCCAAAGTGCCAAGGGGGCCTTTCCCTCAGTCCAGAGAGTTTTCTGGCCACCGGCTAAGTTCCAGACACGGGCCTGCTGTGCCTGACTGGCCCACAGTTCTAGGCCCAAGTACACAGTTGCCTTCGCCCCAGATGCCGTTTTCTGGTCCACACTGCTTGCTGCCAAAAGCCAGGACTGAGCTGTTGAGGGAACAGCTGGCATGCATGCATCTTGGAGGACGTTGTTGACTGGCTGTCAGTCACCGCTCATGCCCTGGTGTTTGTCTTGCAGATGGAGGCTCCGTGGTGAAGGCGCGGGTGCTGACCTGTGTGGAAGGGATGAACCTGCCCTTGCTGGAACAAGCCATCCGGGAGCAGAGGCTGTACCAGCAGGAGCGGGGCGGCGGCCAGTAGAAACAGCAGCCCAGCAACACCCCCACCCGCTTTGGGGGTCAAACCCTCTGGAGCTGCAGGAACCCAGGAGAGCACAGACACCCCCCAGCGACGCCTTTGTCTGCAGCCCGAAAACAGAGGGGCGGGTGGTGAATCCAGCCCCTTCCGCTACTTTGGGATTGGCTTAGCAATGAGAGCCCTGAAAGCAGGCCCCAAATCTGACAGCTCCACCCTGGGAGACTGCAGGTGGCCAAGCTTGGGTGCCAGGGCTGTGCCTGGTAGGGGGCCGTGGAGGGTTCCAGAATATCCTGGTGAATAAAGGCCCAGGGGGCGTGCCCTTTATGTGTGCACCTGATGCAGCGCTGGTGGGGGCCAGGAGGGGGAGCCACAACCGGTCGTGGGCTGCAGCCTCTCAGGGCTTCTGGTGAATTCTGGGCCGGGGACCTCTGGGGAGGGCGCTGGGGGACCAGGGACCTGGGTGGGGGGTTCAGGACGCAGGGGTGTTGCCCCCGGCTAGCCTCTGCCCTCAGAGGAGGCTGAGCGGCATCACAAGGGCCGGGCCAAGTCCCTGGGCCCTGAGTTTGCAGCCCAGGGCAGGACTGTGGCTTCAGGGCTCTCCTGACCCCTGACCTCTGTCCCCAGTGGCCCCGGCCCCTGGGCAGCACTTCCTGGTGGCCTTGTATCCCCAGAGCCTGGGCCTGGTTGGGCTGGGCGGGGGCCTGGCTGAGAGAGGGTGGTCCTGCCCTCTGAGGCAGGGCACGGGTGAGAGGCCTGGGGGGCTGGGCTGGGCGAGAGAGGGTGGTCCTGCCCTCCAAGGCGGGGCACGGATGAGAGGCCTGGGGGACTTAGCTGGGCTGGGTGAGGGGTGGCCCCTGACTCCCTGGGAGTCCAGGCTGGGCTGGGGTGGGTGAAGGGCAGCACCCAATACCCTGGGTGTTATGGCTGGGCTGGGCAGGGGCCTGGGTGGGAGAGTGTGGGGCCTGGGTGGGAGAATGTGGGCCCTGCCCTCTGAGGTCGGGTGCGGGCAAGAATCCTGGGGGTCCTGGGTGTGCCAGGCTGGGCGAGGGGTGACCCCCGAACCCCTGGGGGGTACAGGCTGGGCTGGGCTGTGCAAGAGGTGGCCTCCGGTCCCCAGCCAGGTTTCCAGGCAGGATGAGCCAACTAAAGGGGGTGGCTGGGCCACATGCCTTGGGAGCCGGGCAGCCTGGGTGTGGCTGGGCAGGGTGTCATGCGGTGGCTGGAGGGACAGTGGGGGCGTTGGGCGTGGGGTGCTAATGGCTCGGTGCCTTCTGTTTCCCAGACAGCTCTGCTGCCATGGATGTGTTCCAGAAGGTAGAGAAAATCGGAGAGGGCACCTATGGGGTGGTATACAAGGCCAAGAACAGGGAGACAGGACAGCTGGTGGCCTTGAAGAAGATCAGGCTAGATTTGTGAGTGCTGGGACAGCCCCTGAGTTACCCGCCCTGGACCATCACAGCCTGGGCACTCTTCGATCCATTTTCTCCTTCTGGGAGTCCACACTCATCTCCTCTGGGTGCTGCCTGCAGCCCTTTACCCATCCCCCACCCAGCTCACTGCCTCCTGATCAGCCTTTGCCTGGGCCCTGCTCTGTGGAGCTTGGTGGGTGACAAGCCAAGGAGCACATGGCCTGGGCCATCCTACAGGGATAAGGAACGCAGAAGCCGATCCCCCTGGCCGGAAGTGCCCTTCTTGGCCCCGGTCTCTGTGCCCACGGCTTGTTTCTTGCAGGGAGACAGAGGGGGTCCCAAGCACTGCCATCAGGGAGATCTCCCTGCTTAAGGAGCTGAAGCACCCCAACATCGTCAGGTGAGTTGGGGATGGAGGTGGGGAAGTTGGGATAGCAAAGGTGACATCCTGACTGCCACCTCCCTGCCAGGCTGTTGGATGTGGTACACAATGAGAGGAAGCTTTATCTGGTGTTTGAGTTCCTCAGCCAGGACCTGAAGAAGTACATGGACTCCACCTCAGGCTTGGAGCTCCCCATGCACCTCATTAAGGTAGGGAGGGAAGGGCAGGGAAGGGGAGGTGACGCCCCATCCCCACTATCCCTGTCTGCTCAGCGCCTCCAGTCAGCTGGCTCTACCTCACACTCATTTCTCCAGAGCTACCTCTTCCAGCTGCTGCAGGGGGTGAGTTTCTGCCACTCACATCGGGTCATCCACCGAGACCTGAAGCCCCAGAATCTGCTCATTGATGAGTTAGGTGCCATCAAGTTGGCTGACTTCGGCCTGGCTCGAGCCTTCGGGGTGCCCCTGCGCACCTACACCCACGAGGTATCGTGAGACAAAGAGGAGAGAGGGGCAGCAGGAGTGTCACCCATGCAGTCAGCCACCCTGAATGTTGCTGTTTCCTTGCCCTGCAGGTGGTAACGCTGTGGTATCGCGCCCCCGAGATTCTCTTGGGCAGCAAGTTCTATACTACAGCTGTGGATATCTGGAGCATTGGTTGCATCTTTGCAGAGATGGTAGAGAGAGGGGCACACATGGCCACAGGGTGTCACAGGCGGGGTCCTGCTGGGTTGGGTGGGGCCCACTGATACTTCAGTAGAGGTGGATTAAAGAGTGTTTGGGGCTGGGCACAGTGGCTCATACCTGTGATCCCAGCACTTCAGGAGGCTGAGGTGGGCGGATCACCTGAGGTCAGGAGTTCAAGACCACCAGCCTGGCCAATATGGTGAAACCCTGTCTCTACTAAAATACAAAAAATTAGGCTGGGCGTGGTGGCTCAACACTTTGGAAGGCTGAGGCAGGCGGATCACAAGGTCAGGAGTTCAAGACCAGCCTGACCAACATGGTGAAATCCCATCTCTACTAAAAATACAAAAATTAGCTGGATATGGTACTGCATGCCTGTAATTCCAGCTACCAGGGAGGGAAGCTGAGGCAGGAGAGTTGCTTTGAACCCAGGAGGCGGAGGTTGCAGCGAGCTGAGAGCATGTCATTGCACTCCAGCCTGGGTGACAGAGCTAGACTCCGTCTCAAAAAAAAAATTTGCTTGGTGCAATGTCGTGCACCTGTAATCCCAGCTACTCAGGAGGCTGAGGCAGGAGAATTGCTTGAACTCAAGAGGCAAAGGTTACAATGAGCCGAGATTGTGCCACTGCACTCCAGCCTGGGTGACAGAGCAAGACTTTGTCTAAAAAAAAAAAAGAAAGTCTGGGCTTGTCCTGGGAAGTCTGGGGATGAAATAAAAGCAAGGAAAAAAATAAAAAATAAAAAGGCCAGGCACGGTGGCTCAAGCCTGTAATCCCAGCACTTTGGGAGGCCGAGGCGGGTGGATCACGAGGTCAAGAGATTGAGACCATCCTGGTCAACATGGTGAAACCCCGTCTCTATTAAAAATACAAAAAATTAGCTGGGCGTGGTGGTGCATGCCTGTAATCCCAGCTACTCAGGAGGCTGAAGCAGGAGAATTGCCTGAACCCAGGAGGCAGAGGTTGCGGTGAGCCGAGATCACGCCATTGCACGCCAACCTGGATAACAAGAGCGAAACTCCGTCTCAAAAAATAAATAAATAAATAAAAAGGAAAAAAAAAAATACAAGAATTAGCTGGGTGTGATGGTGCATGCTTGTAGTCCCAGCTACTCAGGAGGCTGAGGCAGGAGGATTGCTTGAGCCTGTGGTGGAGGCTGCAGTGAGTTGTGATTACACCACTGCACTCCAGCCTGGGCAACAGAGCAAGAATCTATCTCTATTTTTTAAAAAAGGTATTTGGTACTGGCTGAAGGACTGAGGAAGCCAGCTTTATTCCAAAAAAGGCCAGAATTCTATGCATAACCATGGGAAGGCTATCTTGACAGGCATCTCCCTGGGTCTGGCCACTTATCTCATAATAGATTCTGTATGACAAAGTGGCGGACCCCATACCTTCTCTTCTTCCCCATTCCAGGTGACTCGAAAAGTCCTGTTTCCTGGTGACTCTGAGATTGACCAGCTCTTTCGTATCTTTCGTATGCTGGGGACACCCAGTGAAGCCGTATGGCCCGGGGTCACCCAGCTGCCTGACTATAAGGGCAACTTCCCTAAGTGGACCAGGAAGGGGCTAGAAGAGATCGTGCCCAATCTGGAGTCAGAGGGCAAGGACCTGCTCATGGTAGGTGCACGTGGGCTCTGGCTGCTGCTCCAATAAGAGTTTCTCCTCATCAGCCGGCCTCTTACATAACCCTGGCACTTTCTCAGCCTGAGGCCAGGATTTCTTTCCTGATCCTGATACACAGTTGGCTCGTCCTTGTCCCTGAGTATACTGATTGTTTGACCTGGGAGCCTCCCCAACGATTAGGTGCAGTGTTTATCTTCCCTGTGGGAGCGGTGATCGCTGAGTTAGCTCTGTCTTTATGCCATGCTATTCGCCCTTTTCCCCGAATTGCCTTAAGTGTTTGCTATTCCTCTTTGCGGACGTTATTGCTCCATCTAAGCTGTATGCTTCCCCAGGCCAGGGCTATACCTTCTTTTCTAATTTTTTTTTTTTTGAGACAGAGTTTCCTTCTTATTACCCAGGCTGGAGTGCAATGGCATGATCTCAGCTCATTGCAACCTCCACCTCCTGGGTTCAAGCAATTCTCCTGCCTCAGCCTCCTGGGTGGCTGGGACTACAGGTGCCTGCCACCATGCCCAGCTAAATTTTTTTTTTTTTTTGAGACAGAGTTTCGCTCTTGTTACCCAGGCTGGAGTGCAATGGTGCAATCTCGGCTCACTGCAACCTCTGCCTCCTGGGTTCATGCAATTCTCCTGCCTCAGCCCCCTGAGTAGCTGGGATTACAGGCACATGCCACCATGCCCAGCTAATTTTTTATATTTTTAGTAGAGACGGGGTTTCACCATGTTGACCAGGATGGTGTCGATCTCTTGACCTCGTGATCCACCCGCCTCGGCCTCCCAAAGTGCTGGGATTACAGGCTTGAGCCACTGCGCCCGGCCTAAATTATTTTTTGAGGTAGAGACAGGGTTTCTACCTCAAAATATTGGCCAAGCTGGTCTTGAACTCCTGACCTCAGGTGATCTGCCCACCTCAGCCTCCCAGAGTGCTGGGATTACAGGGACGAGCCACTGTGCCCAGCTGGGGCCACACCTCCTACTGCCTGGGCGTTCCCCCTGTGACTCCTATGGTGGTCATTCTTCAGAACAGGCTGTTCCTTGCTGTGTGGGCCCATGCCATGGTCCTCACTCACCGCTCCTGTTGGTGCCTCAAGCTGGCCCAGGCTGGACAGCCCAGGAAGCATCTAGCAGAGCCGTCTGTTCTTTTTTTCTTTTTGAGACAGGGGGTCTCACTCAGTTACCAAGGCTGGAGTGCAGTCTTGATCTCCAAGCCACAAGCGATCTTCCTGTCTCAGCCTTCTTAGTAGCCGGGAGCACAGGTGCATGCCACTGTGCCTGGGGCATTTTTGTATTTTTTTGTAGAGACAGCATTTAACCACATTGCCCAGGCTGGTCTCAAACTCCTGGGCTCAATTAATCCTCCTGCCTCAGCTTCCTGGGTATCTGGGACTATAGGCGTGTGCCACCATGCCCAGCTAATTTTTTTTTTTTTTTTTGTAGAAATGAGATCTCACATCCAGGTGTGGTGGCTCACACCTGTAATCCCAGCACTTTGGGAGGCTGAGGCAGGTGGATCACGAGGTCAGGAGTTCAAGACCAGCCTGGCCAAGATGGTGAAACCCCATCTCTACTAAAAAAAACCCCACAAAAATTAGCTGGGCATGGTGGTGTGTTCCTGTAATCCCAGCTACTCTGGAGGCTGAGGCAGAAGAATTGCTTGAACTGAGACCTGGGAGGCGGAGGTTGCAGTGAGCTGAGATCACGCCACTGCACTCCAGCCTAGGCTACAAAGTGAGACTCTGTCTCAAAACAACCACAAAAAGGGGGGGTCTCACTATGTTGCCCAGACTGGTCTCGAACTCCTGGGCTCAAGTGATCCTCCTGTCTCGGCCTCTCAAACTTCTGGGGGATTACAGGTGTGAGCCACTGCGCCCATCCACTCTCCATTCTTGCCCACAAAGTCTTGGAGCCACATTTCTGTCCTTAATCTGGTGTTGAGTGAGAGGAAAGCGGGTCAGTATTTTCATCTTCAGGTTGTGTGCCCAGCTCTCCAGAAGTCTCTGTGTGTTGTCTACCTGCCTGGGTTTAGGGACTCTAGGGTAGAGGGTTGGACAGGTCTGGCTTCTTAGAGTGTCAGTTCCCATGCCCCCCCACTCAGGGTTGCTCCCTGGACAGCTTCAGTCCCCTGCTTCCTGATACGTTGGGGATCTTCACGACTAGAAGCAGGCTGGGACCTGGGGCCCTCCCCAAGGAGTGGGGTGACTCAGCTTCAGTGGCCTGAGGAGACCTGGGTGACTCATTAGGACTGTCCAGATTCCAGGAGTGTCTGGAACTGGCTGGAGAGCTGGGAGGTTGTGGTTTCATGTGGTTCTAGGTTTGAGGGCAGCCGTTTTGGGGCTCAGGCCCTTGATCTGGGACCTGGGTGGGGAATTCCTCACCCCACTCTGGCTGCATTCAGACCCCATCTTCCTCCTCCTCCTTCCTTCCCAGCAACTCCTGCAGTATGACCCCAGCCGGCGGATCACGGCCAAGACCGCCCTGGCCCACCGGTACTTCTCATCCCCGGAGCCCTGCCCGGCCGCCCACCAGTATGTGGTGCAGCGATTCTGCCGTTGAGAACATCAAGGCCACACTCAGATCCTCTCTCGAGCAGCTGCTGTCCCAGCTGCCTCCCACCCATTCCCAAGAGAGGACACGTCTGGGGAGAGCAAAGCACTAAGGAATTGGCATCAACCTGCAGAGGGCTGAGTCTGGGTTAGTCCTGCCCGCAGGCTAGCGAGATCCTGTGTTGTTTTTTGGGTTTGACAGAGTCGTTTCAAAATAGAGGCACAGATACTCCGTGCATGGGGGTCCCTGGGCACCGGAACAACAGGGGCCAAGTTGAAGGCAGGGGGCCTGCCCGGTCTGGGCAGGGCCAGACCCTGAGGAAAGGTTGCCCTCTGCTGGTCTTTTTGGATTTAAAATGTTTGGGGGAAGAGTTTCAGTTCAGAGTCCCAAGTTAAACAGGAGGGAGTGAGGGAAGGAGAGAGGACGTGCCCCCGATCCCAGGAGAGCTGGGCTGTGGCTGCACTAAGGAGTTGTTCCTTCACCCAAGATGTGCTTATCTTGGTTCGTTTCTGGCTTGACAACAAGAAATAAATGTGATAATGTTTCTGAGTTTACTGGTTGTACTGCTCACGGAGGACACCTGGGCTTCCTGACAAGGGGGACATTGAAATAGGACTGGAGACAACCCTGGCCCAAACTGAGACAATGGGGAAATGGGTACAGGGCGGGTGGGGAGGCAAGGGCTGTTTCATGATTTTTTTTTTTTGAGACGGAGTCACTCACTGTTGCCAGGCTGCAGTGCAGTGGCACAATCTCAGCTTACTGCAACCTCTGCCTCCCCTTTCAAGCGATTCTCCCGCATCATGTGCCACCATGTCCAGCTAATGTTGGTATTTTTAGTAGAAATGGGGTTTCACCATATTGGCCAGGATGGTCTTAGTCTCCTGACCTCATGATCCGCCCACTTTGGTCTCCCAAAGTGCTGGGATTACGGGCTTGAGCCACTGCACCTGGCCCTTTTTTTTTTGAGACAAGAGTTGCTCTGTCACCCAGGCTGGAGTGCAGTGGCACAATCTCCACTCACTGCAACCTCCATCTCCTGGGTTCAAGCAATTCTGCTGCCTGTTTCCTGAGTAACTGGGATTATAGGCAATCTCAGCTATCACTGCAACCTCCGCCTCCAGGGTTCAAGCAATTCTCCTGCCTCAGCCTCCCAAGTAGCTGGAATTACAGGCATACACCACCAAGCCCGGCTATTTTTTTGTATTTTTAGTAAAGACAGCATTTCACCATGTTGGCTCAGCTGGTCTCAAATTCCTGACCTCAGGTGATCTGCCCCGCCTCGGCCTCTCGAAGTGCTAGGATTACAGGTGTGAGCCACCAAGTCCAGCCCATGATCCCTTTTCAAACTGTTGTGGGTACATAGTAGGTGTGTGCATTTATGGGATGCATGAGATATTTTGATACAGGCATCCATATAATCACATCAGGGTAAATGGGGTATCCATTCCCTCAATCATTTATCCTTTCTCTGAGTTACAAATAACCCAATTGTCCTCCTTTAGTGATTTTTTTTCTTTTTTTGAGATGGAGTCTCACTCTGTTGCCCAGAGTGCAGTGGCATCATCCTGGCTCACTTCAACCTCTGCCTCTTGGGTTCAAGCGATTCTCCTGCCTCAGCCTCCCAAGTAGTTGGGATTACAGGTGCACGCCATCATGACTGGCTAATTTTTGTATTTTTAGTAGAGATGGAGTTTCACCACATTGGTCAGACTGGTCTCAAACTTCTGACCTCGTGATTGCCCACCTCGGCCTCCCAAAGTGCTGGGATTACAAGCATGAGCCACCTTGCCCAGCCTGGAGTGATTTTAAACCATCATCTCTTTCTGTGACCTGCCACCACATCCCTGCCCAGCACCCAAGGAGGCACAGGCTTCTGAGGATGCCCATTTCCCAGGCAGGCGGGTTGGGCATGTCTGCCCGGAAAGGACTTGAGCAGTTCATCCCCCAGATGGGTGGATCCTGTGCTCCAAAATATGAATGAACAGGACACCACGTGGCACGGGGAGAATTCGTTTATTGGGATTACTGGGTGGACACGGAGGGAGGAAGGACTGAGCTGCTGCTGTCGTGGTCTGGGGATGGATCAGTCACCAAGGGTCGGGGAGGGAGCCCAACACCACAGTAGTAAAATAATAAAAGACAGCGGTCAATGGGAAGACCCACTGCTTGGGATGAGGCTGCTTAGAGGCAAGGGGTATCCTAGCTGCCCCAACACACACATTCACCTACCAGCTGCCTGGCCTGTGTCAGCGCAGGGAGCATGGGACAGTGGGGGAGGCCAAGCGGTAGCAGCGGTATCCTTCCAGCGCTGCAGGCAGGAGCAGCAGGCCGCTCAGAGGGTCCTTGCGGCAGCGGCCTATGGCCTCCTTGTAGCTCAGCCGTTCCTTGGAGATGGGGTCTGTCAAATCCTTCTCGTAGTTGGACTCGTCCTGCAGGAGCTGGGCCAGCTCTTCGCTGATCATCCCGGAGAGGAGGGCTTGCTGGATGGGGATGCGGCCTGTCCTCTTGGGGTCGATAAGCCCCCCAGTCAGGTGCTGCACCTGCAGGTGTGGGAGCACGCTCTCCCGGGGCATCCAGCCCTTCTGGACGGCCTCGCCCACCGACAGCCTCTTCTTGGTCACAGGGTCCTCGATGCCGGTGAAGGCCTTCTGGGCATTGAGCAACCTCTGTGTGGAGGTGTTCTCGATCAGGCCCCTCTCCATGGCCTTGTGCACGGAGTAGCGCTCGCGGCTGAGCAGGTCCACAATGCCCCCTGTGGCCGCCTGGGCCTCCAGCAGCTTCTGCCCAGTGATGGGGTCCAGCATGTTCTTGGCCATGGCCGTCTTGATGCTGCACTTGTTGTCGGTGGTTGTGTCGTAGATCCCGGCAATGGGGAAGCTGTCATCACCGAGCCCAAGAGAGAAGCTGGGAGAGAAGAAACTGGCACTCTGAGGGGCAGGGGAGGCGAGCGGGGACTTGGAGATGATGGAGCCAATGGAGAGCGAGGAGCTCGGCTTGGTCTCTCCAGCCACTAGCAGCGCAAACTCGGAGATGGGCAGGTGGCCGTCTTTGTACAGGTGGTACTCCTCCTTGGAAATGCGCCGGCAGCGGAGCGCGGCCTCGATGGAGTACTGCTTCCCGCTCTTGCGGTCCAGGAGCACAGACTCCTCCCCACAGGGCCCCGAGGTGGTGACCTCCTCCCAGTCGCACTCGAGCTCCTGCAGCTGCAGGTACTGGCCCCTGTCAATGATGCCGCTCTTATAGGCCTCGTACGGGGACATGTCCTTCCCCGTCTCGGGTTCCAGGATGGAGATCTTGGTGGAAAGGTTGGTCTCCCGTGTCTGGGTCTCCTGGCTGAGCTCCTCCCGGCTCACCTTGGCGTGGAGGTCCCGGAGGGTCCGCTCCTTATCATAGATCTGGTCTTTTTCGTGGAGGATGGCCGCCTCAAGCCGTGAGAGCTCCTGGCCCCGCTGGGCTGCCTTCTGCCGCTTGCTCTCTGTCTTCTGGTTGAGCAGCTTCGACTCCTCCTGCAGCTGCAGCGTCTGCTGCTGCTTCTGCCTCTCCAGAGTCCGCAGCTCCTGCTGCAGCCGCCCACGCTCCTGGTCAGCCTGGTCCCGGGCCCTCTGCAGCTCAGCCTCCTCCCGGGACCAGGTCCTCTCCAGTGCCTCCGCCCGGTTAATACGCTCCTGCAGGCGCCGCGCCTCCTCCTCCCGGGCCTGCCGGGCTGTGCGCTCGCGGTTGAGCATCTCCCACACGCGGGCTCGCTCATCCTCCAGCACGCGGTCCTTCTGCACCCGGATTACTTCCTTGTAGATGGTCTTCTCCTGCGACTTGGCTTTCTGGAGGACGTCGATCTGGACCTGCAGGTTCTTGCACTCCCGATGCAGCTCCTTCACCTGGGCCTTCTCCTGGTCCAGGTCCCGCCGCAGGGCGTCCGTGGACTTCTCCAGGTCTGGGTCCTTCTCCAGCTTGACCACTTCCTCCATGATGATCTTCTCCTGCACCGCGGGAGGCCGCTTCTCGAGCTCCTGGATCCTCAAGGTCAGCTGCCGCAGCTCCTTCTCCACAGCCAGCTTCTTGCTGCGGTCCTCCTGGAAGCTGAGCAGGCCCTCCTGCTCCTCCACGCCTGCCCGCAGCTGCTGCACCTCAAGCTCCAGCTGCCGCCGCCGGCCCACCTCCTCATCCAGGCTCTGGCTCAGTCGGCTGTGCTCCTCTCGCAGCTTGGGGTCCTTCTGGGTGACCACGACCTCCTGCACCACCACCTTTTCCTCGGGCTTCCTCCTCTCCAGCAGCAGCCGCTTGCTCTGCAGCTCATAAAGCAGGTCCTCTGCCACCCGCCTCTTCTGGGCCGCCTCCCGCACCTCGTGGCGGAGCCGCTCTGCCTCCTTCTCCAGCACTGGATCCTTCTCATGGCGCACCACCTCCTTGCTCACTGTCTTTGTCTCCACCTTGGCCCGCTCACGCCTCCACTCATCGCGCTCACCCTGCAGGCGGATGAGCTGCTCCTGAGAGCGCCCGTGGCTGTTAACCAGCTCATTGAGCTGAGCCTTGAGCCGGTCGATCTCACGCAGCACCTCAGGGCTCCTCTCGTGCCGTACCACCTCCTGGGTCACCTCCTTATACTCCACCATCGGCTTCTGGGCCCGCAGGACCTCCAGGTCAGGCAGCAGCTTCTCCACCTCCCTCTCCACACTGCTCCTCTTGCCCGCTGTCTCCTGCAGCTTGGCCCTGAGCCGGGCGATCTCCTGCTCTGTCTCCGGATCCACCTGGAAGACCTCGCGGACGTGCTCCTGGAGCTGCACCTTGGGCCTCTGCTTCTCCACCACGCTGTACTTGCTGTGCAGGTCGCTCAGCTCCCTGGCCAGCGTCGTGTTCTTGCTCCTCTCCTCCTCAAGGAGGCTCCTCAGCCTGGAGGACTCCTGGAGGAGGCCTGGGTCCTGCTCCACCTTCTTCACCTCCTTCACAATGACCTTGGGCTTCACTGCACTGATAGCCCGCTCCAGGTCTTGGATGCGTGCCCGTAGCTTGGCCACAGCCTCCTCTACCCCCTTCCTCCGTGCAGTATCCTCCTCAAGCTGCAGCCTTAGAGTCTGGGCTGCCTTGAGCATTTCCAGATCCTTCTCCACCTTGACCACCTCTTTCACCACGACCTTTTCCTTCACGTCCACCTCCCTCTTCTCAAGGGCCAGTAGCTCCTTCTTCAGCCCTTCCAGTTGGGCCGAGACGACAGCATCCTCCCCACGGAGTTGTTGGATCTGGACCCTGAGCTGGGCTGCCTGGCTATCCAAGCCGGGGTCCCTCTCCACCTGGGTGACCTCCTTGGTCAGCAGATGAGGCTGCATGGTCTTCCTCTTGCTCTCCAGCTGCACGACCTTCTGGGCTGCTGCTTCCAGGTCTGCCTGCAGGCCAGCCCGCCGCTTGCCCTCCTCCTCCACTTGGACCTTCGCCCTGGACAGGCTGCCTTCCAGCTGGGGGTCCCGGTAGAACTCCACTACTTCCTTTTCCTCCAGCCTCTCCACAGGCCGCTGGGTCCTCAGCTGCAGCAGCTGGCTCCTCTGTTCCTCCAG